CATTAATCTCTCTGAATTGAATCGGAAGCCTCCAAATCGATTCAGAGATTCGGAGACTCAGCAATAGACTGTACAGTAGGCCTCTGTGAAGTGGCTAGTATTCGCTTTGGATTTGGATTCGGCTGATTCAGGGGACAGTGATTTGATTCGCTGATTTGAATCACTGTCCTGAATTGATTCAGCTGAATCCCCAAATCTTCAAATCACCCAGGCCCATCCCTGGCCCGCTCTCCCAGCCCTGACAATGGGTGCCCTGCCTGTCCCAGCTCCAGTCCTTTAAGGAAAAAAAAAGACAAAAACCCCTGGACTCACCAGTTCCTGCCTGGCAGGGGGGCGATCCCTGCTGCCTTCCGCTGCCCCACGTCATGTGTAGGGCTCTGCATGAGCCCCACAAAGCCCCTGCAGGAGCTGGTGAGTTCGGAGTTTTTTCATTTTTTTTTCTTGAAGGGCTGGAGCTGGGGTGGGTGGGGCATCCATGGGAGGGCTGGGGGAGCGGGTGGAGGTTCGGGGTGCAGGCAGGGGATGGGGCCTGGCAGGGGTCCCCTCATGGTCCCCTCCCCCTCCTCCAGCCCTACTTACCAGCCTCGAGTCTAGCTCCAGCTCCCTGCTGCAGCAGGTGGGGACTGCCCAAATCATCAAAGCTCTCCAATTCTTTTCCAAAGATTCAGAGAGTTTTGAATCGATTTGGGCCTTTTTATTGGTCCCCTGATTAGATTCAGATTTGGAGTTTTGGCCACCAAATTGGGCCAAATCTCCTCTGAATCAAATCAGCACCTGAAGCTTCACAAAGCCCTGCTGTACAGGCAGGCACTAGGCAGTGTTGGCAGGAGCAGCTGGGGGAGCAACCAGATGAGCCCTGGCTTAAGCCGGCAGCCCCAGAAGAAGCTGCGGCTCGTCTGGCTGCTCCCCCACCTGCTCCCCCATGAGGCAGGCAGTGTTGGCAGCCCCAGGAGAAGCCGTGGAGCCTGGGGGGAATGATCGGGGAGCTGGGGGAAAGATTGGGAGACGGGAGGTTGAACGGGAACTGAGGAATTGGACTAGGAGCTGGTGGAACGAACAGGGGCTTCCCCCCAGCTAGCTTCCGGTTCAGTCCCCTAGCTTCCAATCATTCCCCGCAGCTCTGGCTTCTCCTGGGGCTGCCAGCTCTGCCTGCCTCTCCCTGGAGGTGGGGCAGCTGGGGGAGCAGCTGGATGAGCCACGGCTTGAGCTGCAGGGGTTGGGGGGAATGATCCGGGACTGGGGAAATGAACAGGGGTTTCCCCCCAGCTCCTGGTTTGAGTCCCCAGTTCCATCCCCCAGCTCCCTGATCATTCCCCCCAGCTGCCCCATACCCCTGATCATCTATGTTGCCTTTCTCTGTACCTTTTCTAATTTCACTGCATCCTTTTTGGGTTGTGGAGACAGGAACTATACACAGAAAAGAGTCTCAGGAGAGTTGCACAGTGTGTATATTTCATTGGCTGGAAAAGGTGTATGTATGGGTGGACATTAATAGCAAGCATTCTTGTGTGATATAGTATAGTTTTAAGAGGAAACCTGTGTAGTTTTAAAGTAGTAGGAAGCCAAATGTCAAAATGGGAGAGCTTGGAGGTAGGAACTATTCCAAGAATCTATATATAATCTGAGAGACAAACCTGTTATTTTGCTCTGATCTACATGGTGCAACTTCATTAATTCCTATTAATGTAGGGGTTACTTCTGTGATCTTTTCTCATATGGATAAGAACTGCAGAGCTCTGTCTGTTATGTTGCTATATTTTCCCTCCCCGATTTGTATGCAGTAATGGCTGGAGCACAGAGCTGTCCCTGGGGATTAATAACTGACTGGGAGAGCTGATTGCTGAGGACACTAACCCTGAGGCTGTCATTAAGGCCCCAGAAAATGCTCCATTCACATTACACATTAGGTGGTATTATAATGCACGACTGACTTTAAATGCCCAAGACATGTAATTATCCCTTAGAAATGCACCACAGAGTGTTTCTTATTGTTGCGAAATAGAATTTTCAAATTAAAAATAAGAAAGATGGTTAGTCTTGTGCATTTATTATTCCTTATGAACACTGCTGTGATCTAGGCATGTGGTGAGTAGTACTTGTGTGCCTCTTGTTCTAAAGCCATTTTATAATGGCAAATGTAACTTTTTAGAATCACATTTTCTTATTTTCCTTTTGGTACCTCCTGAAATATTGTTTACTGTGGTTCAGGGGGAAAAAACCTCTCAATGCAAGGTCAGCAGTCAATAAGATTTAACACACATCGACAGATCTCTAAGTAGTTCCTAGACCCATTGCTGAAAGATAGCTTGATGATACTGCTAATCGAGTCCTAGATCAGTAGGCAGCTCTGTGCCCCGTAGATACTGGAGGTGAGGTTTTTTTTTTAAGAGCTCACAGTGGTCGTAACTTTGCACCTAGTGAAGATGGGCGCTTTTCAGTCATGAACAGCTGTTAAGTGCCACCTGGCTTATCACTGAGAGGCAAACCTAACTTCCAGTTGTATCTTAGAAAATCTTCCAAGATTTTGTGGCAGAGTAAGGTCAGCACAATGCACTTTCAAAAATCCCATCCAGAATGGTCAAAATTGCACTCAGAGAAGCCATACTATTCCAAATTGACCTAGTGAGAGAAGTCCTGTAAAACAGCCAGTGTTATCTTAGTGCACTTTCTTGATTTTTGAGCTCAGTAACAAGATGTAGTCTGTGGTCTGCCAAACATCAGATGTTTCCAAGGGTATTGTCCCCACCCAACAGAGTTGCAGGTGTGTTGAGGCAAACCAAATTGACAATATGCTAGTGCAGAGTGTGTTTCAGGCCTTGCAAATTAAGTGAATGAATACATCCCGATAAACACTTGTATCCTCAGCTCAAATGAGAGGATTCTTTGCTAGGGTGGTAACAGTAGGAGGGTGCTATAAACTATGGCTTAAATACAGTCAAAGAAGAAGATAGTAATTCACAATTTAGCCCCTGTGGGTAGGGGTCTAGTACAAGGTAGAAAACAAATCCTGTTGCAGGTTGCAATTCTGGACAAGTATTTGGAATTTCCTTTTCAGGGCATTCCTGCAAGAAAAGGATCTTAGCCAGAGCTCAGTTCATAGTCTGAAGTCTCACTGGTGCTTCTAACCCTGCTATTCATGTACAGCAGTTAACTCCTTCCTTCAGGCTTCTATGAGTGATAATAGGTGATAAGTCCACCTCTGTATAGCCTCTTATCTATACTCTAGAGTCTAGATTATAAAAACTGCCAGCACAGTTGTCACCCAAGTTTCTGGCATACCTCCATGTCTCATTATCCTGGGAGATTTCAAATCCCTGTACCAGCAACACTTTTGACAAAGAAACTGCAGAGCTTCATTCCCTGTTAGATACCATAGGATTTTTCTTATGATCTGCAGATTCCTCACACAGAAAGGCTTGAATTTGATTCCATCCTTGGTCTAATGTGGAGACAGGGATGGGTATAAGAACTGCCCTCACCTATCACTTTTTCTAGGAGAGGAAAGATATCTACTGAATTGGATGAGGGTGACCTTTTGGTGCATGGAGTAGCCTAAAGGCTGGTCAGTGTGTTTCATGAATGCAAATCCATACTCACAGAGTCTATCTACATGTGCAATTAATGTGACGCAATATACTCTGCAGCAGTTTGAGCTGGAGTCAACTGCTCTCAGGCACAATATCTGCAGGTGCGCCTAGAACAGCACCTGTTTGAGCCAAGGTGGAGCAGGCCTCTGGCTGCCTGGGCAGACTGGGAACAATTTACACCCCCAGTCACCATGTACACATGCATTTTGGTGCAGTAAAGTACTCTGCTGTAAGATAATATTGTCCTCGACAGTACTATCCTACGGTGGAGTGAATTAGTTTACTGCATCTTAATACTGGCGGTGCATGTATAGACAGTGACACATTACTGCGGAGCTGATTAGTCTGCTCTGCAGTAAAGTGCACATGTAGATGCACCTACACAAGCACAGGTATTACAGTGGACTTACAGGTGTTGTAACTTGCACTGGTATTATGGAATGAGGATCATGTTCTGGTTTCAGTTACAGCTATATAAATTTTCAGAAGCTGTCTTGATATGCAGATATGGTGGATTGACACTGGTGTCAGAGAGAGTAGATCCTGCCTCTGAATGTGCAGGTGTTTGTGTCACCACCTGCAGGCCTAGGCATGCCTGTATCCTATTTTGCACAGCATACAGATAGTGACCAACATCTGACAACAAGGTTTAAAATGAAGAGCAAAGCAACAGCCTTTGTTATAAACTTAGCTTTTGTCTTTCTGTTTTTTACCCATTGTGTTAGTTTTAGGTACATTTCTGTGCATTCTGGTAACACTGAATGTTGAATACTGAAGAGGAAGGCTGTTTTTAATGCTCAAAATGCTAATAAGGGCCACTCAGTACAAATACATGACACAGACAAGTCTTAAGCCAGGGGGGTCAGAGATATGGTCTATGGGCCTGACGTGGCCCATGCAGCCCCATCATGTCACCTCTGGTTCCAGAGTTAACTTACACACTGCACGCAGCATGAACTGGACTGGCCTTGTGCTCAGAGCCCAGGGTTCATGCTGTACATGGCATCTGTTTCAGCCAGCTTCGGACCTGCACTGCACATGGCACCTGCCTGGGCCAGTCTGGGACAGGTGCTGTGTGTACTGTGGGTCCTGGACCAGCTGGAGGGAAGCTGCATGTGCTGAATCTGGTGAGTGAGCAGAGGTGAGGGGGTGTGATCCGTGGGGCCAGTCTGGCCAATGGAATTGGCCCCATACCATTCATCTGGCCTGTGGACCAGCCCTATGCCTTGTGGGGCCAGATGAGTTTGACATCCCTGTCTGAAGCTAAGGACATGAATGAAAATTATACTGAAAGAACAGTAATTTTAATAGTTGTGCCAGTAACATGGTGAGTATGAGTCGTAATTAGGGTCTTCTTTTCCTTTGGAGGGTGCTTTATGCTGTCTGATGTAATGCGTGATCTTTTTCCTGCAGATGAAGTAGAGAAGAAATCCCAAGCATCTGAAGTGGATTCTTTAGAAAAGACATTTTCCATTCTTGAGTTACCAAACATGAATAAAGAGAGCATCTTACGTGCAAGAAGTGAAGAATCATTAGTATCTCTCTCATCACAGCCTTTGGAGGAAGATCAGGTAAAAAGACTAGTTTGGTCCATAGAGGCAAGCATTAAAGAAAAGATAGGTAAAAATATGCAGAGAGAAAGAAAACCCTGAGTTCATTCAGAAGAGACTGTTATGGTTCTAAAGGACTCCAGTTGCTCTTTGGGAGAGTATGTACTGACTTGGGGGTAGAGTCTGTCTGATGCTATAGCTAGATTGTTTCTGCTACTTGAGCTAGTTTGGGTGCGTTTACAGTACAATAAATTCTTCAGTATGGAAATTTTCATAATGAGCCAGTAGGCAGTGCAGAGCTGCTGGGCTATAGGGAATCTCTTGAAACTTTCAAGTTTGGGGCTTGAAGGCCCCATGTGTGTCTTGGGAAAGATGTAACGTCAGACAGGCTATGAAATGGAAAACGATAAGAATCCACATATACAAAGTCTCCAGACCCCTTCATGGGTAAGAAATGATTAAAGGGTGAATGGCCCTGTAATCAAGAATTTATTCTATTAAACTCTGTATAAAAAAAGTCATTTTGTGCAATTTATAGTGCAACACGCTTAACTGACTTGAAAAGCTGTGGCCGCTAGGGTTCAATCAAAAGCAAAAATGATCATTTTCCTCCTCACTAGCACATGCCTGTGAGGTTGAAACTCAAGCAGGGGTTTTAAAACAATCAAATTTTTTCAGTTTCTTGTATAATAATAGTGACAACAAAAGTGTTTTGCTGTTTCCTCATCAAGAATATGATTCCCTCATTGGGATAAACTGCCTTTTGGTCTCTTATTTTAGCCGCTTGGGATCTGGCTTTCTGCCTCATAAAGCACTATAAGGCTTCCATTATCCTTTAGTTAATGGAACATCTTAATATTTATCTTTGTTGCTATGGAACAAAAGTTTCAGGCATGATTGCACATTTTTGTCACATTAGCAGTTTAAGAAACAAATACAGTAGTAATTGGATGCACTGGAAAAATCGCTGGTATAATAGCAGGAAGAGTTTGTAATGCAATAAATTAGTGTCTGTAATCTTTACACCTGTGCTGGGGAAAAGAATGGAAGGAAAAATTGCCTTTGGAAACATCGCTTTTGTTCTAAATGCTACTGTTATGCTAATTAAGAATGGTTACATGTTTCTGTGATGGATTTAGTTTGGGTCTGTTTAGGTTTTCAGAGGATTACCCATCCACTGTTCACAAATCATTTCACCCACTTGTTTTCTTATTTTATATACAAGTTTAAAGAGACCAGAATTTTGGCCTGTTCCTATGTGTAAACTTGTGGGAGCTTTGAGTGTGATTTGTATTTTTGTTATAGTTACCTAAATGACTCTGCTTGCTACTTACAGGTAGTGATGAGTGAAGGCATGAAAGTTGGCTTCTCTAAGAAATGTGATCTCAGTTTGACCAGAAGAGTGAAGGTACATTTCTGTGGGTGGAGGAAGAAGAGGAGGATGGTTGGTGGGGGTTGTGTGTGTTTGTGTTTTCGCTTTTCTTCAAATTGGGGATTAGCAATAGAACACACCTACTCTTCGTCTCATGCATTTTACAGTTTATTTGCTTCCAAAATTATCTTGTTCTCAAATGTTAACAGGTCTTTGTTAACACGTCTTCAGTATGACACATCTTTACATCTTTAGTATGATGTTTTCATCATAAATTGCAAAAGTCAGGTTATTGGGTGTGGGGTTGTATTGGAAGAGATCAGCAGGCCTAATTTTTGTAGTTTTGTGTAGTATGCTTTGGCTTGCACAATATGTAGCAACTCTGCTACACAGCAGCGTTACTTACAGGGAGCACAGCTGTGCTCCAGTATCTTCACTAGCATCCAATTTGTTTGAAGCTACTGCTTTTGATCCGCAGAGCCCTTTATAGTTGGTGTGTGTCTCCATTTTTGTGCTTAACAGTTCTGATCAGTTGGGATGCTGCAGGTCTCACACACGTTTGTCTTATGGGATGAACATTTACAGTGGACTAAGCTGTCAGGGTTTCCTCTACATTTTATTCCAATAGAACTCAAATTCATTGATCTCCAGGCTGTGGGAAGCAGGAATGTTGAAATAACCATTTTTTCCCTGTTTTTTCCTAAGATAATTGGTTGAATGGAGTCGGTGGGGAAAGTCTCTTTTTTGGGTGAGGCAGAATCATTTTGACCATGCCCAACCATGGCTGGATGGGGCCGGGCCATTCCCCGTTTTCCTCATGGGGCCATATTGGGGCTGACCATGGACAGCCTGGGCACTGCCCATCAGCCAGACAGGTTGAGTCCCACTGCCTTAGTGCCTTTTTAAAGGGACACTATTGCAGTATAAATATATATACTAAAAAAACATGATTTAAATTTGGAAAAATTTCCTTTAAGGTGTTAGTTTGCTACACTTCACCCTTCAGTTAACTTGGAAAATGAAATTAGATCTGTCAGCTTCTCTCTTGTTTGAAGAAAATTTTGCTCTCTCAGTCTCCTGTAACAGATTTCCAAAACTGGAGAGGAACATTTCATCTTTTCCCTGAAGAAAAAGAAATTACTTTTTTTTTTTTTTTTTTTTTTAAGTTCCTGAAAACAGGATTGGAAGGGGCCTTCAGGGCTGTAGCATCAAGTCACCTGTGTTTTCAGCTAATTGTTGACCCAAGGAATCCCCATAATTGCCAGTGCAAATCCTCGTATTCAACTACAAGTCACAATATCTGAAATACTAAGAGCACCTGATGAAAAAGGTATAAGAACAGTAGAGGAGGACACTACCAATGCCTTGATACTGTGATGACAGTTGGTTAGTGTATAATCAGAAGATCCTAGGAGATCCCCCAAAATGTGCTCCACATGAAAGAGGAAGGCAAAAACTCCCACATCCTGGCCAATCTGATTTAGGGGAAAATTTCTTCCTGGCCCCAAATTTGGCAGCCATTATGATCCTGATTGGATCAGTAAGACTTCCATCACTGCAATTTATCTAAGTTTTATGGCTCTCTCTCCACCCCCTACTTTCTTTTAAAGCTGGTCCTTAACTATTTTGGCAATGTTTCTTTAACTGCATTTGAAGTATACCAAACATATTTCTTTCCTTCAAGTAATACTGTTTAATAAACTTTCCATAGCAGCAGCCACTTTGCATAAACTCCTCAAAATTACAGAGGAGAGTGGCAATGCTGAAGTAGACAAAAGTGACAATATTTGCATTATTGAGTTTGCTGTGGGAATCATGGTATTATTAGGCTTATTTTCATTACCAAGGTTTTTTTTGTTTTGTTTTGTTTTTTAGCTTTTGGGACTTTTTTTTTGTAGGTGGATAATTACTTAGCTTTGGAAGATTTTGACACTGATGAAGAATCTGGTCAAGAGAAATGCATTGGTATGTTTATTTTTCTTCACTTTAAAGATTTCTCTCTGCCCGCTTCCAGGCATAAGAACGTTCCATTTTCTTTACAACCTGAAAGAGGTTTTGCTTTGAACTTTACATTTTCTGTCTGGAAGAAAATATAAAAATAATTTCTTTATGCAAAATTGTGAGGTGTTCAGTACGAGTAAGATGTATTTCCTTTGATACTTTTGAATAATGACTTTCAGGTCTGTGCCAAATTGCAGTAGATTTTTCTTAGTAACTATACTCAAATTTTTCTGCATTTTTATTCTGAAATCATTTTGATTATACAGAATTTCTCCAAATGGTAATGGTGACTCTACAAATGCCGAATCATAAAATTCTATGTGTATCTGTAATAAAAACAATTTTGCTCAAATGTGGACTGGTGTTCACTAAAATTATTTAATTGCACTGTTAAAATTTAACAAAATTGAACCTGTTTTGAATTTAAAACATGGTATTTCCAAATCACTTCCTTCACTCTTGTGGTCACTCTCCCCCTACCTTCAAAAATTTCCAAATCTATTGTAGTATAGCTATTTCACATACTTGTAGTAATTTTCTACCCTCCTCTAAAACCCACGTTCTTGCAGAGTGGTTAAGTTATACAGTTCCAGAGGTATGAGTTCAAGCTGTCCTCTGGATTTGTGCTGAACATTGCCTTTTGTTGATTCAGCTATAAATGGGTACCTGATCACCCCAGGGTGAGGAGTCAAAGGTGGCTGGATGTGATGCTAGCCACATCACTGTTCTAGGTCCCATTCTCTATAGGAATTAATGACCAGAATAGCAGTAGCCTGATAAATTGTCTGGCTTGAGTGGGCCCTTGCCTTAGATATTTTTTTTTGGCTCTCTGGACCCATTTACATTAAATGCCTGTTGGTTGACCACCTTTTTGGCCTCATAACATACCCATGAAGCAGGGAAGATGGGAAAAAGCAATACAAATAAAGTATTTTCCCTAGAAGGAACCTCTAAGAGAGCAGGGACTTGAGCTTAATTCTTCTGGGTTATTTTTTCTTTCTCCTGTCTTCAGAATTGCAGGACTTGAAGTATTGGGTTTTTTGGATAAGAGGTTATTTAGCTTTTTTTTAAATTAAAGAGGCAAATTCAGAATTACGTTTATTCCATTAACCTTTATTAATGTTTATTCTATTATTTCAGAACATAGTTTAATTGTTTGAGAATGCATTCCTGTACTGGGCCTAGGCCATAATAGCTTGTTTTTCCTTCCACTGTAACAACATTTAGTTTTTCCCTTTATAGATTTATTAGAGAATTTAGAGCCCACTGATGCGATGAATTTAGCCAATCTGATAATCCCTTCACTTTAGAAGCCTCAATTCAAATATGGTTTATATCATTAATGCAATTAGTTTAATAGTTTTAACTTAGTCTCAAGGGAGCACCCATCCCTATTTTAAGAGCAGGTTACAAGGGAGTACGTCTGAAATGATTGGCAGTACCAACTCATGGCAGGTTCAGCACTAGAATAGAAAGGATACTGAGGACGAATGAAATATACTGACAAAACTACAGTATGTAGCGGTTTGCATCACAGCTTCCTACACCAAGCCTAGCTTTATCAAACACTATCCATCCTTTTTAGTGAGTATTAATGTTAATAATCTGCATTTAAAAACACCAGGTTAAACAGCTTGCATTTAAGCAAATTGAAAAATATAGCCTAAAAATTACTTTATTGTAGGAATCGGAGTCATATTGTGCTAACTTTTCAATTATTGCTGTTATTGGCAAATTATAAAAATAACTACCATAACATTCTACCCTTACTAGTGCAGACTATCACTTTGTTAGCTACTAACCATTTATGTGGCACTTGATTTGCTTTTCATTGTCTTCTGTCTTTAGTTGATCCCAAGAGAAAGCCTTCTCTACATGATATGCCATAATGCAAAAATAAGCCTTACTAACCTCTCAATAATCCACAACACACATAAAAACAACATTAAACATTTACATAATATTTTTAGCCTCAAGGCACTGCACAGACATCAGCTAATTACTCCTTAGAACCCCATGTGAATAGAATATCATACAGATGTATAGATGAGGAAACTGAGGCACAGAAAATTAATATCTTGCCTGAGGATAGAATGGATCCAGTTGCAGAGCAGAGATTTAAATTCAGGTGTGACAGGGGGCACGCTTAGGGCTGGGAACATGCTGGCCCACCCACCTGTCTCTATGGGGCTGTCTACCCAGTCTCACTTGCCACTACTTTGCTGTTCCCATAAACTGGTGGTATAATGTGGAAGGCTGCCCATTCCCAGCCCCGATGGCAAGGGGCACTGTCTGTGGCTCTGAACCTCTCCTGCACTGCAGTCCATTCCTCACAGATGGCATCCAGATTAGGATTACTCCCTGGTCTGAGACTGGAGCAAACCCAGTCCAAAGTTGGGCTCCATTCATCCTCACATTCACCCTGCCACCCCTCTCACAGAAGGTCTCTTACACTCCTTCCCCTCTCACAGGGGCCTCTAGTATACTGCCCATTATGGGGCACACTGTTTTGCTCTTGCTCCTCTTGAGCAGCCCCTCTTGGGCCATCAGGCTTTGCTACTTGCATGCTGGCCTCACCACACAGTCCCTCAGTTTCTGTGAGTTCCCCTTCTCTGTGTGGTCCAGCCTTGTGCCAAACCCTGGGCTGATTCTACCCCAAGCTCCCCACTGGGCAACTCTATACCACATCCCACCCTGGGGTCTCCTCCTCATACTTGCCACTAGCTTCTCATGGGGCTGGCCCTCACGCTGGCCTTCAAGCTTACTCCAGTTCGGTCCTATTCAGCATGCCCCTGGGACTGTCCTTCAGGCCTACTCCCTGTTCAGCCCTACTCAGCCCCCTCACATGCACAACCCTTCAGGCCTACTCCCAATTCAGCCCTGCTCTGTGCAGAGCCTCACACTATGCTCCCCATGCTACCCCCTCTGGGGTCTCCAGGATCTCACATCCCTGCTGGGCTCAGGTGCCTACACATGAGCATACCTTGCCCCACTACTCCCACAGCTCTCATGATTACCCACCAGATGGTGGGGGCCAGGGTTAAGGCACCCCTACCTGCCTTACACCATGGAGGTAACTGGCCTGACATTTTCAGGGGGGCTTCTGCACCACTAGGAGCCCCACTGGGCCACCCTTCACCAGCAGGGTGCAGTTTTAGATCATGCCCAGGACCAAGAGCTGCCTGCTTTTACCTGCTAGATGCTCCATACAGCAGTTCAGCCAGGCAATGCCTCTCCTGCCAGCACTGAAACTGCTGTCTCTTTATAGGCAGCCTGTGTTGTAAAATGGCTGCCCCAGTCAGGCACCTGCTGGCTGCCTGACTCAGCCCTTAAAGTGGCAAACACTCGAAGGTGCGCTGCTACAGCAGGTTTTGGCTAATCTAGTCTAATAACAAACATGAGTCCTCTCATCTGTATGATTGGTATCTTTTATGGTAAAATTAACTCAATTTGCCTAGTGAGAAAGGAGTTATAGCTCTTGAGGCTGTAGAATACTTGCTTGTTCAGGATGTAAATGACAAATACTGATAATATTAAGATTACTACTAATAATTTAATGTAAAATAACACTCTATAGAGAAGTCATCCTAAAATAGTTCCAAAATAAATTTTAAGCTGATATACCAGTGTTTGTCAAACTGGGGCATATGTACCACTTGGAATATGCAACGAGAGGAAATGTTGTGACTACGTGAGAGGTACGAATAGGAAAATAGAAGAGAAAGGAAACTATGAACGGAGGAAAATGATAGAAAAGAAAATGACACTAAGAGCAGTTCTATAATATCTCTTGGGGTATTGGAGAGGATGAGTGTGGATGTAGTTACAAAATGTTGGTTTTTATTCTCCATAACATGGATTGATGGAAATATACAACCATATAACAAACTTAACCAGGACTAAAAAGTTTGAGGTGTACAAACTTAGAACCTGCTACTCCCCACTGAAATGAAGCCAGTCCCACGTTCAACTGACAGCTTCTTAAGAGTGCACAATGGAAAATAACGGAGGAAAGCAAGTGAAAAATGTTATACCCTACCTTTATTAATAAATTACTATTCTAGGCTTTTATGAGCACTTGTTACAGATAACACTATTCAATACTTCTCTCAGCTCTAACAACTGGTTATTTAGCATAATATTACTGAACATTTACCCAGTGAATATTCACACATCAGATTAATTTGGCTCAGACAAGACAGTGCATATAACATGATTGCAACCAGGTGCTATAATGTTCTAGTGGAGCCAGTGCTCTTCTGGGACATCCTGATGGAATCATAATTTTTTGGCTTTTTTAGTGCCTATATCAAACCAACCTGGACACAACACTTTCACAAAACAATTCATAAAAACACAGTGACGAGTGTACAAATAAGTTTTAGCTGTTTTTATTAGACAGTACTTGGCTGAAAGCCTAGAATGAGTACTTTGCATTGTGGGAATTTGGCACCATAAACAGTAGTTGGCAATGTAAATGCAATTCCCTAAACCATAGTTTTAGCCCACAGTGTACAGGCAGCCCATGCATGGTGGGCCAGTCATTCTCCCTTTCTCATTAAATTTAATCTGAGACTATAAGAAGCTTACGGCAACAATACAAATGATTTGGGTTTCTCTTGGGATGGATGGGGAATGCCTAGTAGCCACACTTTGGCAATATGATTCATTTTCAGGACTGCTGACAAATCACTTTCTGCACTGCTCCAAGAATGGTTCAATTACTATATCTTCTTTTTAGTGAAATACAGCATTAAAAAAACTATTTGCAAAAAATAAAAAATTCTATCTGTGTCTCTCTAAGGCCCATGAAGGATTACCTTATTTTCAGGACACAAGTAAATAAAAATACAAAATAATTTTAGGTCCTACGTAAGGAGTATAGCATCAGATAAAACTGTTCAACACATATTTAATGTTCAGTATAAGAAACTGAGGCACATAGGTGAAGGTACCACAGTCTATCTGATTTGAGGTCTTTAGATATAATAGATTCAATATGCAAAGATGCTGGGGACCCAGAATTCCAGTTGAAGTCAGCAAGAACTGTATACAAACAGCACCACTTAAAATCAGGCCAGGGGCCACTACTCGGGGTGAACATTGTCAGTATCCATTATTTTACGTAATCCATATTTCCTCATTTACTTTTTGTATTCACATTTGTATGCAAAAAGCCCAGTGGGAAACAGGATTCAGAATTAAATACCTTGCTTTTTTGAGCATTAAAAAACACATGGAAATAATTTTTATTGTCATGCCTAGTCTCTGCGACCCAGTTTAGTACTGCACAGTTTCACACAACTGGGAGCTCAAGAATAGGAGAAAACTGAGCATGTAAGTCTTCTATGTATTAGCCAATCCCAACCTGGCCCCCTCAACTACATTTCTTTGTCAAATGATATTCCTGAAAGTGGCAAGATCAATTTCACCCCATTTACAGCCAGGCACTATGGGCTTTAGTAAGGATGAAGATGCAGAAAAGACAGAATTTCTTTACTTTTGTGAATTCAGATTAGATTTGTGACATTAACTTATTTTTTCCATAGTTTAATTAATATGTCAGTGTTACAAATTACCTAAGGATCAGCTCAATTAACAGTGTTCACTGATTTAGCAATCACCCGCTGCTGATCCATCATGAAAAAGAAAACAGACTAAAGATAAGAGAATTGCCCAGTGTCCAAATATGTCCTGCTGTGCTGTGTTTCATGTCAGTAGAAGCTCAAAGTTTCACAACTACAACACTCGGGAAGGTGATTCTTCATAGCATTAAGAAAGGTGCACTCCAAATCCTCTCAGTTTTCTGATATCAATTCCTCCTCAATTATCTCTCTCTGTATGGTGCCATTGGCAGCATCCAAGGCATTCCTGTTGCTAATTAATCACCTCCACTGAGAATGTAATTAGTAGCTTAATTAGGATCATCATCCAGTAGTGCTACAGCATAGCCTAAACCAGCTGTGAGGTACTGGCTAGATCTTACAAAACCCTACAGCTCCTGTGGAACCCTCCTGCTGAGAAGGAAGGCTGTCAAGACTCCCTAATTTTTCTCTGTCTGAAGGAGTTTCTTGATTAAACATTATCAGGGAAAGCAGCATTTACCGATTAGGCTCTCATATGTTGTCACGCAGCCAGAGTAGAGAGAAAATGCTCATTTTTGACATGTCTACTGGCAAACAAAGGTTGATTACCACATTCTTATGGCGGTGATTGAAAGGAATCTGAAACATTGTTTGCATTACTAACAAGCCTTAAAAAATTAGAACTGACATTCAGAGTGTGACAAGTACTTCTTGCTGAAAGCAAAAATAAATTTCCTTCTGTTGTCCTAATTTTTAAGTGTTGTCTTTTTGAGATGTTGCCAGATTGTTACATAATGGTGTTGTACCCATCTCTCCTCCACAAACTGGCCTGTTGGGGAAAAACAGCAGCATATTGGTTCCAGGGACAGAAATGATCAGTAATGTACATCAGGAGGTGATGCTTGTGCCTTCATCTTCAAACATATTGAACAAGGAACATGGAAACAATCTAGAGGTGAATCCACTGTGCATAGATGAGGATTCGCTTTTTCCTTTTGTTGTGAATGGGCATATCTACATGTGCAATTAACGTGACACAATAAACTCCAGCATACATTGTGCCAGAGTTTGTTGCTCCCAGGCACCATGTTTACACTTACACCCGGGACTGCAGCATGTTGAGCCGGGTTGGAGCAGCCCTGGCTGGCAAGAAGCCTGGGGCATGAAGCCCAGGGCTGCTCCAACTTAGTTCACCCTACTGTCGAAGGGCTGTTTGGAGCATGACGGTTCTCCAGCGCCAGGCTAGTTGACAGGCAGCCCCTGCACTGAAGCACTCTCATGCCCCCACCAGCTCCATTAACATCTACATGTGCGTTGCTGTGCACTAACGAGCTTGGCCACAACTCAACCTATGGTGGAGTTAATTAGTTTACAGTGGCCTAAGAGGGTTGTATGTACATGTAGATGTGGAGACTTTACTGCAGAGCTAAATTAGGCAGCTCTGCAGTAAACGTCTTGTGTAGACATGTCTGGAAGTAGAAGTAGTTGCTGTGCATACCAAGGATGGAATACACCTGTTAGCAAATTTTGCCATCCTATTGATATGGAATTTATTCAGATACTTAAAACCCCAAGATGCATAAAAGTCCAGAGACATAGCAATAAACTACAAGGGAAATAAGGCTGAAAATTATATATTCCTGGACTTTTACTTTCTGGCTTTTGATTGAAGTGTAAGTTGAGATCCTATGGGAATGAACTTCAGCTTTATGCTAAAGAAGAGTTCTCTGTAGAAAACCATTGTGAATAACCTTGCTAGCTCTGCCACAATATGCAATTTCTAGAGAAGGGATAAAGTGACTCTACCCTGTGAAATCCATGACCAAAATAGAATGCACCTTTGTTTAATTAGTTAATAATACTTATACAATATTTTGGTGGTTCATAAACTCAAGTTGATCTATTTAAAGAGGAATCACATCCAGAAAAATCTATAACAAAACCCTTAAAAGTGTGTATTTCAGCACAAAGAGATGAAGTAAATTAATCTATTTGCAAAACTGAGAGACTGGAGGTATTCTCGTTAGGTTTTCCTATGAAGATATTACTGGTGTTCAGTATTTGTGACACAGGAAGGTGGGTACATTTGTATTATAATACAAGTGAGAGCGGTTCTTGAGCTAGATAAGATTCCCTAAATCTTTGTCAGACACATCTTTCTGAGTTGTCATAGAACAGGAGCTGGCAACATATATCCCAGAGGCTGGATCCAGACTGTGGAGCCACTTGATCTGGCACATGGGAGCTTGGTATGAGGGGGCCTTCAGCAGTGCATTGTCAGCAAGAGACCTTTCCTGCCCTTGTGGTGGAGCCAGGTGGGTGGGTGTTGCGCAACCTCCAGAATGATGCTGAAGCCTCCCCAGCCCATGTTGGACCAGAGCTGTGCTGTTTTGGCACATGGCTAGCAAAGGTTGCCATCCCCTGTCATAGAAAGCCAACCAGACATTCTCTATAGTATGAAAGTCCACCTTGAGCAATGATCAAAGGAGTGACCCCTCGTCCCCCTGCCACACACACACACATAGAAAAGGTTATTGTTCTATTTGTCCCAGCTGTGGAGAAGTTCTCAAGCTTTTTGGAAATCTTGCTTTGGAAGGAAGAGGACCACCTCAGTTTAACTACATGAATCCATTTTTCCAAAACCAACCTAAAGGCATAGAGTAACTATAGAGGCAGCAGGTGCTGCAGTGTTGGGCTGGTTGGGGATAGGAGCGGAACCACTTTTCTCTGAAAATGTATTTTCTGTGGAGACAGATACGTTACAGAGTGGAGTAATTGTAGTTATGCCTAGTTTACAGAAGGTGAAAACTATGGCAAAGACAAATGAAGCAACTTGCCAAACTTCACATGGGACATGAATAACTGGGATCTCTTGACACTCAGTCCAGTAATCTTTTCTACAGGATCTTGCCTTCTCTTTCAAGGAGGTGTATCCAGAGCCAAACTTCCTTAGAGCCGGGGGTTTCCAGATCTAAGTTTTGATTTAGACAATAGGCCCAGGCAATAGGCAATAGGGCCCAGTCATCAATTTGAGATCCAGTTTGACTTCCCTAAAGTACAGGAATTGTTAGGATCTGCATTTTGGCTCAGGACTGCATCTACCTTAAAGATAAGGACTTGTGTTATATATTACACAGTAAGAAGAGTATAGCAGTTTTTCATTAACAAGCTTCTTTTTCTGCTTGATCTCTGCAGGATTTTAGAGCATGATTTTGCTAAATTATACATTAAGTGAAAGGATCAAGTTCAGTATTTTATATTCAACAGGGTCATTGGTGCTTCCAGGAGAAGTGGAACAGACAGTGGCAGGCTATACACCTTACTCTGATCACACCACTCATCTAAAGGTCAAGGTCTTAGCAGTTACACAGCCATCAAATAATAAAACACAAGAGGTATGTGGTCATTTTTATTTAAGTATTGTTTCTTTTATTTTCCCCAGGTGGGTTTTAATGCTATTTGCCTATAGAAACAGAGAGATGTAGAAAGATCCTTGTGTAATTGGCTTAAACTGAGTGAGAAAATCAGTTTAAAATACATTAGAAAAATAAACAAGATAAAGTAATTATCCTTTTTGATGGAACAGCTTCTTTTTATGATGTATACCACTGTTACATAATAAATCAGTCATTGAAGTAAATCATTGTTTTGCTTACCTCAAATTTTAGCTATTACAATTTTTTTAATCAGTGCAGCTCACAGGCTAGTCAAATAAACCTTTACAACTCCTAACCTTTTAAGGAATCATGACATTACGCAGAATGATGGGCATTTAATTTCCTAATAGCTTTCACAATATCATGCCATAATGCTATGCAGAATGGGCTGAGTGTAGAAATCGTTGCCCCAAAGAATGGTTGACTGCTACGTTTTAAAGAAAAAGGTCCAAAATATATCTTGATCACAGAGTTGTAGTTTATGCTTTGGAAATGATTGGTAGCAAGATTCAGTTCAGTATTAGTGCTGTCTACCAGGTGAACTAGAGAGGGCTGCATTATGGAAGCTCATTCTTTCAATCAGCAGCAATCAATATATATTTTAATTTAAAATTGCTCTTTTGCCTCAAAATTTCAGTACCACTCAAATCAGAAAGGTAGATCTAGAGTGCTTGCAGGCTTATTTTAAGTCATTAAGTTTCCTGACAAATCAGCCAGCATTATCATTAACTTTAAAGGATTCTTCTATTACAGGAGCTTTTTAAAAGAATCATTATGAGAGAATCTGAAATTAGCTTCTGGCTAAACTCAGACAGTTTTGCTAGTTTCACGTGTTTATTGATGTCCTTTGAGGCTTATATCGAGTTTATAAATGACGTGTGACCATTGAAGGATTCATGCTACTGCATTGCATATGCAACCTGCCCTTCTGAGCTCAAGTGTGTTCGGTTCTTTGCAATAAGAACATTGAAAATGTACTCTAAAGAACTGTCCTGCATTGGTAGGGACATGGACTAGGTGTTCTAGCTCTAACAGCTGTGGTTCTCTCATTAAAAAAATGGAGTCATTGTCCTGAGCTTTGAATGACATATTGAAGGGTAGTTAAACTCCATTTTTAAACTCTCAGAAACATACCCCTGCATACAGAAAAATAGCAGTTTATGTTGCCACACAATCTGTAGTGCATGCATATAGTATACATTTCCAGTGAATGCAATATGAAGAGGAGGCTGTTTTTCAGAAATCCCCAATATTAACAAATGATTGCACGTGACATCTGGAGCTACAGTTAATGAAAAGCACATGAAAATCTCACCCATTGCAACATTCATTTTCATTTGAGGAACATTTTTGGTTATGCATGAGAAACAGTATTTGTAGGACATAGTGAAAAGTCTATGCCTTTTGAAAGGATATTATCACTTATGATATGTCTGATACCAACATACTGGGTGCTTTAGAACAGTGGTTCTCAGCCTTTTTTTGTACCAGGACCCATTTGTAAACATCAGTGGCCAGTCCTGACCCACAGCCCCCTGGCCCTAACCCACAACCTCTTACTCCTGACCCATATCTCCCTGGCCATGCTGATGCCCCATGCTCCCAAGCCACAGCTCCCTGACCCTGCTGGTGCCCTCACTCCCGACCCACAGTTCTCCGCTCACCCGACACATGATGGTG